GTATAGAAGAACACATAGGCTAATTACGTTTTTTTATTCCGCTCGGACGTAGTCGCGGGTGGATGTTTGCTATTAAAATATTGTATGAAAATTATTTATTTAATTTATAAGTCGAAATTAAACCATAATAATTGTAGTTTTAACTATTTAACCTTATTCGCAGTGAAAAAACAAAGTTTATTCATATGTACTAAAATATGTTTCGTCAATAAGTGAGCAACACTCTTGGATGAAACTCCATATTCGATATTGAAGGACTGCATCGAACCTTTTAGGTCAACAAGTCGCCCCTTGACTTGAAAGGCGTCTCATTAAAGCGGACTGAGGGAAAGCCACAGGATAGAAAAACTCAATACAATAGACTGCCAAGTTCTTTTTTATTAATCTACATTTTTTAATCTGTATAAAAAAAAATTGTGAAATTTTGAAGTTGTATTCGGTTGATCAATTTAGTGTTTTAAGATTTCTCTTCTAGCACGGATAACAATTCTTTTTTATAATGATTTGACCATATCTTAGTTTATAATTATTATTAATCAATCCCTTATCCTAGGTTGCACCTTTTATATCTAATACTAGCTGTCGCCCGCGACTCCGTCCGCGGAGATGTATAAAAAAACTTAATATATAGAGAAGAAGGCATAAATTCGAAAAAAAAATGAATAAATAGTATCCTATGTCCGTCTCCTGGCTCTAACCTCCTCAATAATTGTCAACCATATCGGTAAAGCCGTTCTTGAGATATAAATAGTGTAACTAACACGACTTTCTATTATATATATAGATTTATAACTACAACACCTACGAAGCTTATAAAATGTTATAAAAAAGGGTTAAAGACTTCCGTTTTTCTTGTGAATGTTAATTATTCTCTTAATTCTAACACGGAAAACCTTTTACATTTACTATGGTTGTTGTAAAAGCTTTACTAGGGACGGATAAAATTTAGGTCGTTGTTGCGTCTGCAGTGCGGTGCTATCCAAATATTACTGGTGAGATACAAAGCATTGTCATAATGCGGGAAACATGTAAATTTTGGCAATATTTCGCATTCAGGTTGTAAAACATACAATATCAAAATGTGAATAGATATTTCTAGCTTTTATATTACAAAAATATACACAAAGGAAAGAGCGATTAATATTAGAACATGATATCTTACTAATATTATAAATGCGAATGTTTAGATGTTTGTTTGAAGGTATCTCCAGAACGGTTGAACGGATCTCGATGAAATTTTGCATACATATAGAACATAGTCTGGAAGAACGTATCGCCTATACGTTACTAATAATGTTATTTTTTTAATTCTGCGCAGACGGACTCGGGGGCTACAGCTAATTGTTAATAAAAACAAAGTATATTACTATCTCACCTTTTTAAAGTAGAATGAAAGGAATGGCAATATTTTTTGTACAACTGCTCATATATTTATCCGAGTAACTGATCTCCATTGTCTAACAAACGTGACCGGTGTTGGATAACACTTCGATAAAACAACACCGGATGTCTCACATCCGAGACACTTCCAATTGCAAGCACTTTGATCTATTTTAAGCGGCTGTTACCCGTCTCTTGTAAACATAGATTGATAGCGCTTTATCCCTTAAATTAACAAAATAACAAACCCGTATCGGGAAAGCGCGCCATAAAATTTAAAAATGGAACGTTTTTAGAACTTTTTTTTTAACTAATAAGGTGGCAAACGAACGAGCGGCCACCTGAAATTGCTGAAATAGCGAAGTGACCGTTGCCCATAGACATACGCAATTGCATATGCGTTGCCTACATTTAATCAACGGAGGAGAAGATGCACAGAAAGAAAATATTTTCCCTTTCCTTGCATCCTCTCTTCCGGAAAATCCCCTTCCACTTTCCATTCTTTCCTTATAAGAAAAAAGGTGGGAAGGGAAAAAGGACTAAAGTAACTTTTTAAATTAAGAACGAAACGAAAGTCACCAACATTCGTTTTTTTTTAAGTAATGATAAAAACATTTGTGCTATAGGATATTCCTATGATTTAAAACATTAGACGAAAAACTTTTGGATATCTGTGTAAAATATGAGTGTGAGGGGCGTGAATCATAAACAACGCGGTGAATATAACTTTTTTTTTATTCTTTACAACTTCCGTTGAATGCTTTCAAAAATTAACAGCTCATAACCACAGACTAAATAAGGAAGTTAGTAAATCAACGATTCATCGCAGTTAGCTGGTAACAGTTTAATTAGGCGGAGCATAGTAATGAACCAAGTCCTGTGTTAATCATTAAAACTTGAAAGCGAAACTAACGTTCGTCTTTATTATACGTAGGCCCTATATTTATTACGAATTAAAATGAAGGTTTGTTTGTTTAACTTTTACATCTTTAACCCTTATTGTGGCAAGATTTCTTTTTTGAAGAAAAGCAAAAAAAAAGTTAAAAATTATTTTATAGTGTTTGTAAACAAAATGAACATAAGGGTTAATTCACAGATTATCATAAAATTTTACATACCTAATTTGACCACAACATTCTTTAAAACGACTCAAAGTTTTCTATGTGTAGTAATCAGTTGACGTTTTTATTTTCAAATTTAATTTTAACAAAACTAATTTCGTTGCATATCCAAGCTACCGTATCTCGCGCTAGGAAACTTATATTTAATTATCTTTAGTCCAAAAGTCTTAACGGGTATTTCCATTAGTATCTTAGGATCATCTCCATGGTTATTGCTTATTTGTGTTTTGGAGCGAAGTGTTGCCAGATTTAGAAAGCTGTCTGCCATCCGCGGCCCTCCGTCGCCGTCGCCGCGGCGCGCCGTGACTCAGGCAAATTACCGCGTTTGTGATTAACGATATCTATTCCTGTATTCTCGTTGGTCGCTTCATCCCTGCCCTTTGTTTATGGTTCACATTATTGTTTAAAAAAATAGTTTAATTATTTTCTATACAATAATATGCCGACCATTTTTTTTTTATTAAAATAAATGTCATTGGCATTTTATCTTTATGCCGCCTGCGACTCCGTCCGCGTAGAATGAAATAAGACTTTTATTAAGACCTCTTAATATCTCTTTTATTAAAATCTATTAAGACCATCATAAGATAAATCCGTTCATCCGTACCCGAGTTTTAGCGAGACTAACGAACAACAATTGATTTTATATATATATGTAGATTATATTTTTTCTAATGAAATTATAGTTTTGTGATTTTCTAACCTAACAGGACTAATTGAATATGCGTAGAGACATTGTATAGTGAAGAGAAATTTTAACAAAGTGAATGAACGATACTTTTAGTGAGTGGTTAATTCATTCAAAAAAAGACAAGAAACTTGCGGAATGACGGTTACAAAACCCTACGTGGACCTGAGTAAGTATAAATAAAGGATTAAAAATGGTGGTAACATTTAAATTAAATGAAATAAGTGATTATTTTTTCAACGCGTATTTATTCAACGAATACGAAATTAAAAATTACTATAATCTATAATTGAGTTCCTTTTATTATGTAAAGCCTTAATTACTATAATATAGTATAGTTTTGGAGCCTACTCTATGCAAACAAAGAAACAAATCTTTCCTCTTTGTAATATTAGTATTATTAGGAAGAAAATCCGACACTGTACCGGTGTACTGGCACAACACTAGCCTTACTAAAATGTCGACGTTTATATCCCCTCACTAATCATTCTGACACTTGACTTTGTAATAAAAGCGCGCCATTCGCGCAAAAGGATTCTAATTAATAATGTCTAAAAGTATTAGATAAAAATCTGCTCTGTGCCACGGCCTGTGTGATCGGACCCTTAGAGATTAGGAAACATACTCACAACAAAACTGTGTTGGGGGCAAACTGTAGACTAGATGCTATCGGTTCAAATGGAAGCCGTATGTAAGTTGTTGAGGGTATAAGAAACCTTTGAGTAAACATTTTAATATCGCTAAGTAATTTCTTTCTCTTCAATTACACAGTTAACAAAGTTTGTAGAATTTAATTAAACTTTGTTCTAAAACTTTAGATGAACCTCAATCTTAAAAACGTCCTTTGCTATGTTTTCAAGCCTTTTGAGTATTACATCGAATCAAGAATTTTTCTTTTAATTATTTAACGTCATTTAAAACCTCTTTACATTTTAATCCAATTCATTATTTGTTGGCAACACATCGATGTACTGGTCAGAGTTAACGCATGTCTACAATCCCGTTTAAATTGGTCCCGGGAATTCCCTCTCCATTTATTTTGCAGGTAATCCAATGCTGTTCCAATGTACTTAATTTAATCCCTTCGTCTGAATCCTTAAGCGGATCGCTTTGGGATATCCGTTACTTCTCTCTTCGAATGTAATCGAAATTCAAACAATAAAATCAATACGTGGTCTTAAAACTATCTAACAAACATGTTTTTATTTGTTCATATGAATTACAAAGTGGTACCATAACAATCCTGCAGCATAGATAACAAATTATCATAGATTAAGTTACAATTTTTTTTTAATATTTGAATTCTTACAACGTAAATTTTACAATCAATCATCATTATTGATCTTAGTAATATAATACTTCCGTATATTATTAAACTATATTATGGAGTGTATATTGCATTACATAATCTAGATGCTGCGGTTAACCAAGGTTTGAAACTTGTCACCGCAGACTACTGATTCCTATCTAAATGTAGCAATATATCGCAAGTGGATTTAATTTTAGTGATATTGTACTCGCTTGCTCAAAATCTGGTTACATTGTTGCAAATTCTCTGATAACGTAGGTTAAACAATGCAAGAGAATATTATTTCTTAACTTTCTTTGACATTTTTAATGGTTGTTTTTATGAAATCGATCAATTCTACTTTGATGTTTTTGAACAATTTTAATAGACTTTTTAAAGTATGTAGTAGTCACCAAATCGAATAAATCTAAATATATCGATATTAATGTCTTTTATGACGTCAGTTTTACTAAAAAAAATATGTATTATAAATGAAATACTGATAATTTTTAAATAATTTCAGGTCCGCGCCATGGAGCAGCGGCTCTGCGAGTGGCCGGCGGGTGCTGAGGGCGCACCGAGAGCCATCTCGCGACTAGAGGGCCAAATTGAAGAACAGGTACAACTGTTTAATACTTGTAATTTTAATCACATTGTAATAAAAATATTTTCTTATTAAGTGTGCAATGAAGCCAAGTAAAAAAATAATTAATTAATTGCCTAATTATAATTCTAATATTTCTAAACAACGTCGCGTTGACTCGGGTATTGCTGTCAACGGATCTTTTACGTCACTAAGTATACGTCACATTGACGTATTACAAGTTTGTTTGGGGTCGTTTGTTTTTAAAAATGCATTTTATATGAAACTATGAATTAAAACATAATTAATTTTACGATCGAAGCTTTTTGTAAGTGTTGGTGATTACAAATAATGTAAATCAAAGCAAAACAAAATGCAGGTAAAACTTTTGTGTACATTCGTATTTACTACTTTGTCGTTATCCAATATGAATATATTTATATCAAAATTACAAAGAAGTTAATTTCGATTAATATTATACTCTAGAATTATATCAAGTAATAATTTTAGACACGTCCAAATAACTTCTACTTCTGAAAACATGACTTTGTTTACAAAATTTTTTCGAAGTTATTTCTACCTGAACATCAATTTATTTCTTATCTGAATTGAATGTATAATAATACTCAATATAATACTCAAATACTGGAATTATTTAAGGTTTAAAAATCTAAATTTACATTAATTTTTATTCCAAATACATCTGTTTGCATGTAGAATCATATTTTGTCATGTTATAACATGTTTCATTTCTCTAGAAGCAGCTGCGACTCCAAGACGCGAAACAGGTGGAAGCTAAAGCCGCCAGGATTAAAGAGTGGGTGACCAACAAGTTGCGTGAACTGGAGCAGCAGAACCAGTTGTTAAGGGAGCAGAACGACCGCTGCAACCAACAGCTAGAACTCCTCAGGAATCACATTGCAGCACAGGGCACCAGGAATTGTGCTGTAAGTTGAACTTAACACCGCCAATGTTACAGATAAAATAACATAGTAAATTAACAAAGTTTAAGAAGAATTATGGTTATTTTGAGCAAATTAGTACAGATGAGTGTTACATATAACCAAAGTATACATATTCAGCCTAAGCTTGATATGATATTTTGTGCAATAATTATGCTTTAACTCATTTAAAACTAAAAATATTAGCAAACATCACTTACAAAGCATATCCACATATATTTGCTAATATCAACACCACCACATATATTTGCTCAAGGGTTAGGCACTTGATTTGTAATCTGCAGGACCTGGGTTCGAATCCCACCATGTACCAATGTGTTTTACGACTGTCATTTACATACATACATTTATCCAACGTTCTTATGGTGAAGGAAAACATTGTGATGCAATATTCAGGTATGTGTGAGAAATTCAAAGATATGTGTGAAGTCAACCAACCAGCACTGGGCTAGTAGTGATTGAATATGGCCTTGTCACCCCTTTAGGTAGGCTCCGAGCCCCTCAATGGGGATATATAGTGAACTGATGATGATGATACATTTCTCATGTCGTTTTTGTAATATGTAATACAACATTTTAACAACAATATGTAATGATCATGAAAGTAGAAAATACCCAGAATCGACAATAGGTGACAATATAAAATTGACTTCTCAGTTAACAACTCGAGCGAGTCTATCTCTCGAGGTGAGGAGTGAGGAAGGTTCCAGAACTTCGACGAGCCTTTTGGCCGCGAACAGACGACGATCAGAGAGCCTCGAAGGGCCCCAGGTAGCGGTTGTAATATTAGGAAAGCTATGATTTTTATTGCCAGCAGTTTAATTTGGTTTATTCGCACTTAGATTGTATTTTTATGAGTTGTTATTTAGAGGGTCCCTTACTGTAGATTTCTCAAGCTAAAGAACTCACTAAGGCCCTTAGTAAACATTGAGGACCCTGTGGCAATTGTGATAATTCTCAGATTTTTAAACATTTTTTTTGTTACAAAATTTTATCTAACCATGGTAATTGTTTGGACAATAAATTATTCTATGTAAAAAATGTACCTAGGGATTTAAATTAATAATTAAGTTGTTAAAATTATGCACTATTCTAGATTTGCTTACTTTAGATTTTTTCCATTAATCGATTAAAATTAAGCATTTAACTGAATAATATTTAGGATTGTGGAAATATAAATATTTTCTAATATTTAATATTTATAATTGTAATATTTATTATTGTAGTATTTAATAGTACAACTAAACTCGTATTTTAATCTTTTTAACTTTAGGAAGTAACCGAAGTACTATAAATATACTATAAATGGTTTGTATAAGATGAAAACATATAACAAAAAATCCTAAAGAAATATATGACATTACATAAATATTACGTAGTTAATTAAAAATAATCCATACATCACTACAAACATGCAAATCGATGCTTTATTCTCCTTTCTTTGCATTACACCAACAACATAATCAAATAACATGATATACATGTAATGACGTCATTCTTCAGCTACCCAACTCGGAGCCCCACTACAGCACGCCTGCGAGACATCGAAGGAACCTGTCTATTGGTGCTACAAATCTTATGCAGAGTACCAACGCCAACCAAGCTCTAAATACTATGAATAGGACGATGGATGAGAGGACCACGGCTAGCTTGCTTGATGATGATTTAGCGGTAATTATTTTAAACACTTTACATGCCATCAACATTTTCTCATATGACTCAATATGCCAGATGGCATTGAATGTGTTAAATTAAGAATTTCTTATAACAATAGAGAAATACAAAATAGAGTTTTTTAAAACATTTTTGATTGGGTTAATAACTGAATGGTACTTACTATGATATTTTACTAGCTATAGCCCGCGACTCCATTCGCTCTGAATTAAAAATACTTAGCACCCTATGTGTTCTTCCAAATTATGTTTTACATCTGTGCCAAATTTTAGTGGGATCATTACAGCCGTTGTTGAGATATCTTCACATCTAAACATTTGCATTTATAATATTAGTAAGATATAAGTATTTTGTATATAAAACTTGTTGGTTTTCCTTAATGTTGGTATGACAGTATGTTTTTTTTTCTACAGGCTGCCGTAGAAAATCTAGTTGTACTGCCAACGACTCCTAACACATCGACTGACGGAGATACGACACACGATTACGCTGAAATTTATACACCTAGTAGAGGTATGAAAGCTTTTTACACTTAAAACAATGTCTAATGCCTGGTTTCTGAAGTTTCCAGTTTACTTTTTATTAGCTATTGATAACGTAATCGTCCATTAACTTTCGTTGTATTTCTGATTATGAAGAAACTGTCCAATTGTGTTTTTGTATAATTTTTATTGTTACACTACAGCTTTTAAAGTGATCACTAAGGAGGTTCCTTAGTGTAGATTTAGTATAGTATATGTGTAATAAAGGATTGTTGAAGTGATCATAGAATGAGTCGTTAGTGTTGTACGGATGTGTTGTCAGAGCGCACGCCGGCGTGGCAGGGCGCAGTGAACGTGGTGGTGCAGGGACACAGCCGCGGCTCCACCGCCGACAGCTCGGCCTCCGACAACCCCCGGCCCCCCACACCGCCCCTGCACCGCTTCCCCAGCTGGGAGGCCAAGATATACCAGGTGGGATACCGGATAAATACCAAATGGGACAAAGAGAACCCCTCCCACCGATATTAGCTTTAGCCCCGGACTTCGACTGCGTGGAATTAAAAAAAAAACTTCTTATGAAGTCTATGTAGTCTTTCAGCCATGGTCTAGATGTGTCAAATTTCATCGAAATCCGTTAAGCCTTTTTTAAAATACGTACTTATAAACATCCATACATCCAAACTTTTGAGGAACAAATAAAGAGGAAAGATTTGATTGTTTGTTTGTATTGAAAAAGCTCTGAAAGTACTGAACCGAATCAAAAAAATTCTTCACTATTCCTGACATTAGCTACATTTAATACTAGATTTTTCTTCTAATTTCGCGCGGAAAAGTTAATTTCATCATAATCCTAGTCAATTTCGACACATTACGAAATTCACTTTCTACCATTATTTGGTAGACTAAAATTGAAGTTATGTAAACTTAACAACGAAATTTTAACCTTTTTAACCTCCAAAGGTTGCGGACGACGGTCTCCAACAGTCAGTGGAGGAGGAACTGAGCCCTCCGCCCTGTCCCCGACCTATGCACGAGTCTACTAGTTATCAGGATTTATCTGTACCTGTATACGCCACGGTTAAAGGAGTAAGTTAATTATAACCTTAAAATTTAAACATCCCCAAAATAGCTTTTCTCTCAAAAAAAAAACAAAGCGTAATAACAAAAAATATTTATCTACCAAATTGATTGTTTATATTTTTATTTACAAAACATTCTATTGTATAATATTTTAATTGTTTTTATTAAGAATGTTTACTTTTGTAATTACAGAGAGCGAGTCAGATCAGATCGATGCCGTTCACAGGCGACTCGTCTGACGATTCCTCTGACGGGGAGGAGTCTATGGGCGTTACCGTACAGAACACGCCCCATCACCATCCTTATGGTAAATATTACAACATAACTCACACACGTAACACAGAGGAGTAGGCAGAGACCACAGATCTCCATTTAACAAGACCTGGATACACCTCTATCGCTTTTTCTATTCATACATTTACACATACTATGGTACTTAAGGTATTTCAAAATTGACAAGCATTTATGTGAAGAATTATTTACTAGTTGTAATTAATAAAAACTCCATTTGTGGCCTATAAGTGTTCTTCCAGACTATGTTCTACATCTATGTCAAATTTCAGCGAGATCCATGCAACCGTTCTGGAGATACAAACAAACATCCATTCACCTAAACTTTTGCATTTATAATATTAGTAAGATGTTGTAAAAGAGGGGCGTCTGGTAACACTTAATACCATCTTTCATCTCCAGGTGGGCACTCATCGAATCAAATGGCAATGAACAACGTGACGATGACGAGCATGTTGCCGAGCTCCATCCAGCAGTCCAGCCACGGCCTGCTGGCCAACACCAACGGCCAGTGCAGCTCATCCGACACCAGCCTCAGCGCTAGCAGCCCCTCCAAGAGTGTGAAGACCAGCTCCAGTCTCAGCCCCGCCAAGAGGTCTAGTAGCGGCTCGCCCAGTAAGCAGAGCAAGACTAGAGGTAATTGGTTTCTTATACATTATTTATTAGAATATTGTAAAATCAAATTTCAATTTCAATTGGTACTCATTTTTGTTTTATGTCTAATGGTTGATTTCTGAGATCCGAATCTCTGTATAAAAACATATTGTTGTCTTTGTTTTGTCAAAGATGATGAAAGGGATGAAGATATGTTTAGACAGTTTTGGTATTTTCCACAAGACAGACATAAAATAATAACCGACCGTCAAACAAGCAATTTTTGTTGTTTATAATTATTTATTATTATTTCGGCAGACACATCATTTGAGTCAGGCATGTCAGACGACTACGCGATCCCGCCTGACGCGGGGTCGTGTGAGGGGGCGTGTCGCACTCCGGCCGGCAGCGGAGGCCCGCCCACAGGACTGAGCGCCCCGCCCCACGCCGCTCCACCAGGCACACTACCCACCACCTCCTTAGTACTGCCAGCTGGAGGATCAGGCGGCTTGTCTGATTCGCCACGACGACATGATGCTTTAGAAAAGAGTGGACATCTTGCGAAGTTGGGCGGGAAACTGAAGACCTGGAGAAAAAGATGGTAAGATACTGAGGAAATAACTATGTAAATTAACATTTAAAAAAATAGTTTTTCGTTATAAGCATACCAAATACATCATGTCCGAGAAATACAAATATTTTATAATAAAAGAACACCAGGTTACACCATCCTTCAATTATATTATACTAGATGTCTCTCGCGACTCCGTGCACGCGGAATTTAAAAAAATAATCTCAATTAGTAACATAAGAGTTTTTCCAGACTGTGTTCTACTTCCATACCAAATTTCAGTGCGATCCATGCACCTGTTCTGGAGGTACCTTCTAAAAAACATCCATACAACTATTCGCATTTATAATATTAGTAAGATAACAACCAAAACCATTAAAATTTCCAGGTTCGTGTTGAAAAACGGCACCCTATCTTATTGGAAGTCGCAATCAGAGGTGAACAGGAAGCCTCAAGGTCAGATAGGTCTGGGCGAGGCGTGCAAGATATCGCGCAACGAGGGAGCCGCCACCTTCGAGATATTCACAGGCAGCCGCACTTACTACCTCACAGCTGATAGCATCGCTACCATGGAAGACTGGATTAGAGTACTACAGGTAACAATACTTTGTACAGGACGGGAAGGGGAACTATATATAAGTCCTCTCCCCTGTCTATTAAAGGTCAACGTCTGAAAACTTTTAACTTATGGCAAGTCTATGAGCAGCGAACAATACTCTGTTTTATCCAAAGCAGGCGGCTTCTTTTTGTATAGGAAATGTCATAAAAATATTATTGTGCCAAAAATATGTTTGTTTTGTTTGATTTTTTTTTTGTGTAATGAAGTGATTGTTTACTTTTTTTCAGAATGTTCAAAGAAGAAATGCTACAAAGTTGTTGTTAAGCAAGGAGGACAACAAGCCGACTATCCAGGGTTGGCTGACCAAGGTGAAGAATGGCCACGCTAAGAAGAGCTGGTGTGTGCTGATCGGGAAAATGTTCCTATACTTCAAGTCTCCCGGTGATCAGGTCAGTGATGATGATTTCTTCACCGACTTCAAAAAGAAGGAGGTTATCAATTCGACTGTATTTTTTTAGTTCTTCGATTTTGATAGTTCTTTTTTAATCTAAATTATCTGCAGGTGGGTCCCATTTTTTTTTTTACATATCACAATACTGTAATAGCGATTCGGAACCGAAGCAAATACTAATGTTAAAAACATGAACAGGACAGTTAGATTCTCATTGAAATTAGTTATGTGGAAGAAGCTAAGTTGGTTTCACGAAATAAACCAGAACCATTTTAGGGTTATATCAAAAGTTCGCTTCTCTTCTGGTTAGTTTTTGCGTTACTTTGTGTGCTAAGGGTCTAATTAATATAAAAAAATATGTTTCAGAATCCAACAGGCCAGATCAACATGCGTGACGCGCGCGTGGAGGACGTGGAGCACACGTCAGACTCAGACTCTGAGGAGAAGAATGATGACGCGCGCAGCCACCTCACTGTCGCCATCTACCCGCAGCATCAGGTAACTGCGGTCAGTTACCATCTTTTATATTTCTTACTAGCTGTCGCCCGCGACTCCGCCCGTGCGGAATTAAAATAAAAAATAATAGCCTATGTGTTCTACATCTGTGCCAAATTACATCAAGATTCATTGAGCCTTTCTAGAGATATCTTCTAAGAAACATCTATCCATCCATCCATACATCTAAACTTTAGCTATAATATTAGTATGTTATTGTATATTTTGTGTAAATAAAGTTGTATATGTCCAGGGCCCTACGTACCTACTGTTTGAGAGTAAAGCGGACAAGGACGCGTGGTTGTACCAGCTGACGGTGGTGAGCGGCGGCGGGCTCAGCCAGGGCACGCACTTCGAGCATCTAGTTCACAAACTCATGGAGACTGATGGAGATCCTAGTTAGTGCTATATCATTTCGTATTATCCTTAAAAAACGAAGAGTTACATAATTCGACCAAAATGTCATCTCCCAAAGACCAAATTAATATTAACCGACAGTTTCCTAGTATCGCCATCCCTGTCATTATCTTTGACAAAACTGAGATAACAATATGTTTTAAACGAAGATTTAGGCCTCGGAAAACCACGAGTCGCCTACAGTTTCGAATAGGATTTCAAATGTTAAGTCGTCAATATACTTGATAGTTTGGTTTAGAATTTATTTATTTATAATTGTTCATTTATTTTAATTTATCTGAAGTAATTATACTATTAATTAATTAATTTTAATTTTCAGATTGCGTGTTATGGCGACATCCGACTTTGTTGTATTCAAAGGAGAACATAACGTCACCGCTGACGTCACTCAACTCTGAGGCGCTGCAGGCGGAGGCTTTGAAGCTGTTCAAAGTATGTTCAACAAAAATATAGATTTAATGTAACTAAACGATCATTTTCACATTAGTAAAATCTTCCAACATTTTTTTTGTCACTTAGCCTCATTTAAAAAAAAAATCACTAAGGAGGTCCAATATGTCTGCCAGTGCGTGTGATTGCACTCGTCGGTGGCAGTAAAACAACGACCTTTTTGCTCTGTCAACTTTTTTTTATTTAAAAAGTTTGAAGATTACAAGTGGCCAGTTTAATTCCATGGAGCAGCAGTAAAGAGGTTCAATATACATTTGCAGTGCGTGCAGCTGTTCATGTCTGTGGCGGTGGAGCAGGCGGGCATCGACTACCACGTGGTGCTGGCGCAGAACGCGCTGCAGCAGTGCCTGGAGGTGGGCGAGCTGCAGGCGGAGCTGGCCGCCTGCCTGGCCAAGCAGACCGCGCCGCACACGCACACCAAGCACGGCGTGCAGGTAACCCGCCCCGACAGGCCCGCCCTCGCCCCCGCCCCCACCACCGCCATCGCGCGCGCGCGTGCACGGACCGCAACCGCACATAAGACTAAGCTTAAAAGCGTAAGTTTTTTTTTGTTTTCTTTTTATATTGGTGATGCGCTCTTTTATTCAAACAATAAAAGTATTATTTTCCAAAATCGCCATTGCAGTTAAGTCAAAAAAAAAATTAAGAATACGTTTTGATAATGTGTTTGTCCAATATTTCACACTTTATTATATTGAATCAATATGAGATAAAAGTAATTTACTATTTAGTTAAAATGTTCCTAAATTTAGGTTTATATTTTATTAAATAAAAAAGCGCATCTCCTAGAATAATCACTAATTAAAAGATTGCTCTTATGTTACCCATACTAACTTTACAATATTTTAAAATATGTCTTTGATGGTACTATTAGACTATGAAATAACAATATCACGTATTATCGTTTATTGTGGTCATAGGAGCAATCATTTTTGTTTTTAATTTGCTATTAATAAAAAAACTGACTAAATATCGATATTACGAAAGTATTTTAATGAGTAATGACGTTTAAAGGTGCTATATAATTTAATTGATAATAACTTAGTACCTATAAAGAACACAGATTAATCAGATTTCATATTTCTCAAAAATAAAGTAATTTCAAAGCTTTTAATCTTTATTACTAGTTCTACTAAAATTTTCATTCTTTCACAATGGCAACATTTTAAATGAATATGTCAAAAACTTTCAGATATTTTATCTGTTTGTTTAAATTGACAGCTGTCAACGTAAATATACTTCTTATGTCATTGTATTATTTTTTTCTAATTTGATCTTTTATATCTTGTAATATGAACACTGGTTGTAATTATATTAATAGTAACTAATTAAAAAAAACACGCTTTATATTCTGTGGCTGCGCTCAAGCAACGCTTCAATGCTTTTCTCATATGCCATATTACATCATATGTCATTCAATTCGTTTATAACCACATTGTAAATAGTAGAATAATACTCTAAAATAAGTAAAAATACATGTTTGGCTTTTTGCAAATGTGTAAAAGGCTAGAAAATAGTGCTTTAAATAGCTAAGTCTAGTGCTCTGGAGGCACGTGTAAAAAGGCTTGGTGTAATATATTTTGCGTTTGTATTAAAAATACACTAACAGACCATTATTTTTGATAAAGGCTTCGCGCTGTTACATGAAAAAAAAATTCGCTTTTGTCAAGTGGTTGATCAATTTGGAATAGTGTTTGTTTATTGGCTTTTGAAAAAATGATTTTACCAAATATTTCCTATATAAAATTTATCTTTATGACATTTGTGAACGGAATAATTTTATTCCACATTGATCGTACGGTTCTGGCAACATTACCAAATGTCAACTGTCATCATCTGTCATTCGAACTAATCTGCGCCGGAAATTTAAATTTGGAATAGTAAGATAATGTTGCCACAACGAAAAAAAAGCAGTATTTTTGGTATCTTGTCGCAAACTTTCAAATGGAATGTTGGTGTAAATTTTCCCCCAATTATTTTATTTATTCTACATTTTTCTCCCCGAATGTTTGACCCTTACCCTATAGTTGTAGGGAATGAATATTTTTTTTATTTATCGTATACATATCATTCATAATAATCATAGCTAGTTTCCTCGCACTGTTGATACCCTTTCTTATAACGGATTGATGTTGTAAAGTTTGTCTTAGTCTGATTTATGACTCAGTATTTTTACTTCTAATAAAGGTAAGTTTTAGGTTTAAGATAGTATATAACTGCATATATCTGGTTTTGTAAAGAATTGCAAATATGTCTTACTTATTGTATTTATTTAATTTTTAACGTAAATGATTAATTTATAACATACAATGAATTATTATAAAAAAATATTATGTTGATAGGACATTTAGATAATATTTAAAAAAAGGTAAAAAAAAAATTGAAAACCTTGAATTTAATTTTGCAAAATACACACTTCGTATTTGGTCGTAAAAATTACATAAAAATAATAATAAAATGAATATTGATAAAGATTCTGTACACATTAGAACCTAGTTAAGTATTTTTATTCTTAATATCATGAGGTTATTTTTTTTATAATCTTTTCCACTCTACCAGATATATTGCAGTTATATTTATTAATCACTCTGTATTATACACACCCTGTATATAGAAATGGGATGGGCAAAATTTATTGGTATAACAGAATTTTGACTTTATAATCAACATCATTGTCACTATAGCACTGCAACTAACATGCAAATTAAATTATTATAGAACTACTTTTGATTCAGTTTAATTGATATATCAATATTTTTAAATTCAAACAGTGCTTTAACTAAATACTAGAAAATTCATAATTTGATAACGATTATAAGGGTATGTAAGGGTAACTTTGGTATGTAACCCAAATTAGATCCTGGCCCATATAGGGCAAAACTTGGTGGTTTACATACGTCCTGTGTTAAGGGTACAAGTCGAATATATATCTATGTATCTCCCTCCCTCGTCACGTACGAACACCAACATTTCATTTGCACAGCAACTGTTGCTGTGCGCGACTCAGTCGCTGTTCACTTGCGACACGGGCGGGTCGTCTGTGGGTGACGCCAAGAGCGGCGACCTGCCGCCGCACGCCGCCGGCTCGCCTAGCTCTATACAGGTAATAGGATAGTCGCTTCACGGAGACAGACAATCTAACTCTAAAGTGGGTTATACAGAGTACTATCCAAGCTTAAATTAATGGCGGTCATAAAGATCTGTCAATGTTTTTTAAGAAGACTACTTAACTAAAGACAAGTTGGTTGACATGATGCGGGAGTCTTAAATGATCGTCAAAGTTCTTTTTTGTGAACGAATCCTTACAAAGTCAACTGTGTATTTAAAATGACCAAAAAGAGTGTGGAATGTCAGCTATTTTTTTAGCATAATCATAATTTCGAAAGCCAATAGGATATTTTTTGTACTATAAGTCTTAAAATTTTGTCATATGAGAAAAGTTACGGCATATTTGAGTTTAATTGGTATAAAGCAAATTTTTGTATCATCAATAATAATTTGTAGTGTGCTAAATAAGTAATTGTTCGTCTACCCACAAATGGGTAGTTTACAAAGACTTGACAAATTGCAGGCGCCCTTACTGTCAGTGGACTGCAAAAGCAACCCGCCTACGTACAGCTTCGTGCAAGGCTGGCAGCTGCTGGCTCTCGCCGTCAGCCTTTTTGTACCGAGAAACAATCGGTTGCTGTGGTACTTGAAGCTGCATCTCAGTAGACACGCTGATTCTAAGTAAGTTCTTGGTTGATTTATAAATTATAATTGGTTTTAAGCAGTGATTCTATCCGGCCCGAAGGACCAAAATGTATTGATTAAACAAGTTCAAAATATTAACTTTTTTGCACACGGATATTGCGGAACATGAATAGGTATCATAAAATACAATGATATTGAGGAAGTGTTCTTTTTTTTACGTTTACATTCTTTTTTCTTAATGCCATACCTAAAATGTGTAAAATCTCTAACAATGGTCTAGGATCTCTTAAGTTCTATTGAACACGGTGGTAGTACATTATATAATCCCGTATTTGTATTAAAAACAAAGTATGATATCGCCAAATAAATTATGATCTGTGTCTGAATATCGTGAAGCATAGATGGTTATAAAATATTTATCATATAATTAGTGTAACTCTAAGCTTATTATTTCATGTTAATAGAACGGAATGTGGCAAGTACGCGGCGTACTGCGCACGCGCATTGGAACGTACGATACGTAACGGCGGCAGAGAGGACAAGCCATCCAGAATGGAAGTGTTGTCTATACTGCTCAAGAATCCATACCACCATTGTCTGCCCCACGCTATTCCTGTACATATGCTCAACAATACATACCAGGTTAGTATATTTCAAGGAATCTAACATCAAATATATATTGTTGTCTCAATTTTGTTCAAAGAGAATGAAAGGGATGACAATATTTCATATCATTGTTTAAGTTCCATCAATTTAGAATGATGTAAGGCGACTTATCAGATTTCGTTACATGAGAGAGAAAGAAGATATGAAGTTTATGATGTGAGAGTGAGACAAGTATACTCTACACAGATTTAAGCAACGTCAATATGAAAGTTACATTTAAAAGCGCGTCATCCATAAACACTACATGAAAATGTAAATTAAAAACTATAAAATCGTATGTATATATTCCAATTTATGTTTTATTTCATGATTTTAATGTATTTTATTGAGTAGGTGATAAGTTTCGACGGTTCGACGACAGTGGAGGAATTCCTGTCGACTCTAAGTTCGGAGCTGGGATGTCGTGAAGCCGCAGCTTCGGGCTTCGCTCTGTTCAGTGACGACCCCATAGAGAAAGATCTAGAACATCACATCAAACCTGATAAAAAGGTACGTACAATGAGGTTATATTTAGTTTTTCCACATAATTTTTTTTATTCTTAATTTATTTTACAATTTTCATGACTATTTCTCTGTTTGTTGGGTTGTGTTACTTCCCTTTTCGTAATTATATTTATTTAAATAGTTTCCGAGTTAAAAACAGATCTCCCCACAGTGCCTCAGGGCAAGTGACAAATAACAATGACAGATTAAGATTTTAAACAAGAATAGAAATATTCTGATTTTATAGATAAAATAGTCAATTTTAGGACTTAGAACTAGCATATCTTATTAAAAAAAAACTTTATCTAATACTTATTACTTGTATTCTTTTTTTTTACTATTTACCAATTTTCAGTTATGCGACGTGATATCAAAATGGGAGACTGCACTAAGGGAGAAGGGCTCCGGCAAGTTTGAGAACTCGCGCGTGATCCGGCTCACGTACCGCAACCGGCTCTACTTCAAGAGTTCCGTGCGCACTGAGACTGACAAGGAGCGCCTGCTGCTCTGCTACCAGGTCAATCATCAAGGTAACTCGCATTCTTTTCAAACTAAACCCTCATTTAAACACAAATAGCTAAAAAAAACAGTAGACTATGTATTCTTCCAGACTATGTTCTATATGTATGACAAATTTCATCTATATCCATTCAGCCGTTTTATATTCGCATTTATAATATTAGTAAGATTACTAATCGTAGGAAAAACGCTTGGCTGTCGCTTTAGAGCGAGACAGATGTATGTGAATACAATATCTAGCTCTGAAGTTGGCTTATGTCTAAATGAGATTTAACAAAGGTTAATACTTACTACTTACCCCGCTAGCGCATCGACCCAAAGTGGGTCTTGGCCTCCGACAAAAGAGATCGCCAAAGTCGCCTGTCTTGCACCAACTCCTGCCAGTCCATCGCTTGTAGCTTATTGTCCTCGCTTGTGGTGGCATTAACAGAGGTTAATGCCACCACCAAAATCTATTGCATCAAAATAACACAAAAGTGTGGTGGTGGCACTGGGATATATGTATCTTCTGTTACACAAACAATTCCAAATACATTCTAATTAGTGTTTATTCCGGAGGCCTAATTGTAGTCTCCCCTCCCATCCCACCCTTTTAAGGAAATGATGGGATGGTAAGAAGTAGATTTGATGAAGGGGACGTGCAGGAAAGGGGATATTTCCTTTTACAATGCTTCCTCTCTCTCAATTAAAGGAAGGCAACGCATCTGCAATTGCGAATATATATGGGCAGCGGTCGTTTTGCTATTTCAACGTATTCATAACAAAATAAGGATACTTTAATTGTATCTGTAATGAGAGTTGTGTGTGTCAGTGGTGGGGGGCAGGTTCCCGGTGACGCGCGAGCTGGCGGCGGAGCTGGGCGCGCTGATGGCCCAGCTGGACATGGGCGACCACTCGCCCGCCAACGCGCTGCACGCGCAGCCCCTCGCACACCGCTTCTACCCCTACAGATATAGGGCGGGATTGAATAATGATGAACTCAGGTAATTAACTACCATTTATAACCTTACTAGCTGTCGCCCGCGACACCGTCTGCACGGTATAAGTAGCTTATGTGTTCTTGCAGGCTATGTTCTACATCTGTGCCAAATTTCGTCCATATTCAAGCAGCCGTTTTGAAGATACCTTCTAACATCCATACATCGAAACATTCATATTTATAATATTACTAAGTAACTCCTATAATAGAATGTTTTATTTTTCTATATTAAAATATTTTTTTTCTTTATTAATAGGGATATAGAAGAAAAACTCCGGTCTAAATGGATAGCACTAAAGGGACGAAGTACCGCGGACTGTGTTCGAATTTATCTCAACTGTACGAGGAAGTGGCCATTCTTTGGTGCTACATTGTTCCAGGCTAGGGTAAGATATTTAAAACTAACTGTCGCCTGCGACTCCGTCCGCGCACTATAAAAAAAACTTAATCAGTAGTCTATGTGTTCTTCCAGACTATGTTCCACGTCTATGTCAAATTTCAGAAAGATCCATAGAGACTTTCTAGAGATATCTTCAAATATCCACCTTTCCATCCATCCATACAAAAATTGGCATTTGTAATATTAGTAAGACTAGCAAGATGTGTCCTCACCTCAGCCAATAAATAGAATTTATGTAAGGTAGAATAAATTAAAATAAATTTTATTATATTTGCAGATAAAGCAACCAGATCTATCGCTAGTTTGGTTAGCGGTGTCAGAAGAGGGCGTTACTGTGTTAGAGTTGGCTTCCATGAGTGTCATCGGCAGATACGCGCTTAACTCCATTGGATTATTCGGTGGACTACAGGCATGTATAACAACATTCTAAATAAATTTAAAGAAAAAATAACATCTAATACTTTATAATATACTAGCTGACGCCCGCGACTCCGTACGGGCAGAATCAGAAAAAAAATAGCCTATGTGTTCTTCCAAACTAAGTTCTACCTCCTTGTCAAATTTAAGCAAAATTCATAAAGCCGTCCTGGAGATACCTTCAAACAAATATCCATCCATCCATCCATCCATGCAAACATTCACATTTATAAAATTAGTAAGATAATGTTTTATGTAATAATTAAATGTTCGTTTTTCTGTTCATAGGACGACTTGATGATGTTGATAGACGCAGATGATGCTACGAGTCCTGTACACAAGATGCTAGTCAGCCTCAACAAGCCTAAAGTAAGTTCTAATGTATTTCCACTGCGACAGAATCGCGCGGCTAGATGCCTAGTGAAAATGGCACTTAAATCTTTCTAATTCTTTGAATACTGTAATAAAATTGATTGTTTGATTTCCAGATGGTTGAACTGACTCATCTAATCGCGGACTACAAGAATGCAATACGTGCCGGGGGCACGGGCACGCCCCAAATGAACTCCCTCACTCGCAACGGCTCCCACCGCTCTGTCCGCAAGCCCACCTCCACACTGCCGCACTCCAGCCCCTCCACACTGCCACACGCACACCTCAGCCAGTCACACGCACACCACGCTCACCACACCACGGGACATAACACCCTCAACTCACATGCCACCACAATGACACTAGGCTCGGACAGGAATGCCACTCTCACGTTGAGCTCGCACACATCCACTTTCAATCAACACATCGAAGCCAGAGTCCTCTCTCACGGACAACCCGACATATTGAAATCGACCCCGGATCATCATAGAAGTGAGAAAAAACGAAGTCACACGCAAGATAGTGGGGTTGCGTGATCCTAACTCAATATATATTAAAAATGGACTGTCCCGTTGCTTGTAAATTGTGATGTAATTTTTTTTTATGTCTGAACGGTCGTATTCTAAATATACCTCATATTTTGAAGTTTGCCTTTTATATGATTGGCATTATCTAGCTAGGAATGTAAAGAGCCGTCATATTGCGGAAATATATGGAACTAATTGAAGCGCCCTCTGGATTTTTTATGTTCTTGATTAGGCTAAATCTAGTTTAGTTGTAAAATATCTGCCTAATTGCCAATAACTCGCTTGTACTGCCTTTAACAGTTTTTATTTTTAAAAAATCGAGTTTAGATGTACGTAGCGTGAACACGTTGATATTTTGTTCAGTGAAAAATTGCGTTTAATTTTAAAATTTAATCTTAACAAAATTGGATATTTTACTTTATTAAATAAAATTAAAATTAAGTTAATTGTTTCGTAAAATAATAAATAAATGGCAACATTATTAATTATAATAAGAAAAAAATATTTAAAAATGACAAGACTTTTTCTTTTAACAGTGGCAGCACAGAAATGCATAGACAAAATATCTAACCTTAACAATTGCTATATTGTCTATGGTCATTTTGTTTTTTTTTCTTCCAGTGACAAAAAATATCAGCGTGTGGCACAGTGCAGGGTAATATGCTATGTAGGAATGTAGCGGTGACACAAAATGTAGACGTTTCGATGCTTATACTGTAACTTGATGACGTCACTATGTAGCTCTATTCTGACTAAAGGTCAGTTTCCACTGGAGATGCATATGAGTGAAATATTGCTATCTCTTTTTATTTCAATAAGAATGAAAGGGATTTAATTTTGTCCGTATTTTGAGAGAAGCAATAGTAATCAACTTATCTGTGAAATTGTCGAATTTTTCACGATAAGGAATATGTCATGAAATAAGTTAGTTGCTCTTTTTTATTTTATATTTTGATTTGTAATGAAATTTTCTCTGATTATAAGTAAATTTTATTTAAAACAATAAATTGTTATTTAACGTTTTCAAAAAATGATGCATAAAATTTGCTTTAATAATGTTTTTGGAGGTAAAATTAAATTTGTAATTTAATACTTTGTGTTTTCACTGCCGGGATACCTGTATAAAAACATTTTATGTTCTTTTTCAATATGAGTAAAAACATGTTTTGTGTAGATGTTTCAGGAGTGGAAACACAGGTTAAGACTGGCAAGAATGTTAATCTATGTTCGAATCTTATTATCTATGGATCTTTAAAGAATCTCAGTTTATTGAATTATATCTCACTGTTTAATAATAATTTGCTTTATAATACTTGAATAATAGATATTTTATCTGTTTACTTGATCTCATATTTTTATTTCATTAAACAAACTTAAAAATTGGTGTTTCGAATCATTCAGACATAATTTTTTTTTTATTTATATAAATTTCTTGCACAAAATGACATAAAAACATTTAAAAATATCTATTTTCTAGGTTCATATGTTAATGTCAAAAAAGGTGCATTTTCTTAAAATGTATATTTAGTACTAATATACAAAAAATGTAAGCCTACTTTAGTATTGTAGCTATGTTTTGGGCATTTTATATAATGTACTGATTGTAAATAATGTATAGATATTCTGACATTTTTAAGGCCATTTATGCTATTGACATGACATTAGGAGCTTCCAAGCTGACAGACCGACAGTCATCTGACCAATGGTCATACGAGAAATCGACCAAGTAATTTGACCCGATGGGTAAAAGTGATAGTATTAACCCGACAGTCATTTGACCCGGTGGACACAAGTGAAAGAATAAACCAATCAAGTCATTTGACCCTATGGGTATAAGTGACACTATAAACCGACAGAGTCATTTGACCTTATGGGCAAAAGTGACAGTACAAACCGACAGAGTCATTTGACCTTATGGGCAAAAGTGACAGTATGAACCGAAAGTCATCTGACCCATCTTGTCAATGTCAACAAAGTGTTACAAGATTCTTGACGTACTGTAGCTGTCTTATGTTTTTCTTTTATATCCGTATGTAAGTTTTACATATTGTCTGACACAGCTAACTTAGATAGTACTATAACAGAAAATTACAATTTTCGTAATACACGTATAGTTATCTCTGTTCTTTTCAATGAGAGTAAGAAGGACGACAAGTTATGATACAAGTATTCAGTGGAGACTCGTAGATTCTAGTCATATACAGGATGAAATCTTTAAACCTGCTCCGTAGACAAAGTGCATTCGCTGCGGAGCGATTCCATAACGAATTTCTAAAACGTAATGTAATCGCTTCGGAGTGAATGCACTTTGTCTAGGGGTACGTCTAACTTCTACTGCAATATGAATTTGACTTTCAGCCAAACACAACCCAACCCATCCCTAATGAATTGTCAAAATAATGAGTAAACAAAATGTTGCTGACCTTGAAATGTTATCTTGCACGTGTAGTATGTACATCAAAAACAAATGTTACCATCGTTCTGTGTAAATATTATTTGCATAAATAATAAATGAAAATGATTGCAATCTTAACATTACAGTAATCAAAAATAAATCAGCTGAAAAAATAAACATACGGTGAAAAATACACCTTAAAGATATCGTTTAAAACCGACTTACTCGGCACAGAGTTATCGTGGATTGAATAAATTGAAGACATAAATTCGTATGTAAATATAAATCCAAACGACATTAACCAAAAACAAATTTACGTATTCTCTATAGCGCTTTATCGGCGGTGATGAGGCGACATCGGGTGTACCACTCGTAATCACCGCGGTGAATGCTAAGTCAACTATAAACTTAAATTGACAATTCTTAACGAGACGCTTCCATAGCTGATTTGTTCCAAGTTTCAGTAACTATAGACCTTATTGTAATTAAGATAAAGATCAATTTAGTGTAATATTTAATGAGCCAAAGCTTAATTGTTCTGAATTTTTGGATTATTTTTGTATATTAAGAATTTTCATGTTCGACTTTATGCAACAGGTAATAAAGTCTGTATTTGCGTAACGTCTTTTAGAGTAACATTCGCACTTTTTGCATAACACTTACTGTTGACATGATTGTATAGACTATATTAATGTATATTTTACATAATATATTAATTAGTATCGACGAATTTTTCCCTTTAATTTTTAAGCTATATGTAATCTGTAATTTATTGAAATTTGTTTTTTTTTTTATTTTTTATTTCGTCTGTATTTTTGTTTTAATCTCGGTTGTTGTAAGTATTTTAAATTTATATAAGTTTTTTTTGTTAACAAAAGGCCTAAATAGCGATCTAATGTAATTCGACGTATTTTTTTTTAATGATTGTAATTTTTTAATGGTTTACTAAATTCATGTTTAATGACACAAAATAAACATATATTAATGAAAGTTTTTATTTTTATTTTTTACGAAACCCAATAAAATTACTCTTCTATATCCTTGAGACCGATCCAAATATTCAAATAACTGTATTCGAGGGAGTGAGAAAAGGTTTTTATACATCTCTAAACGAAATTTTAGATTTCTCGATTACTTAACAAAAATTATAGTGTCATAGTGAACTAATTTTAGAAGTGAAAAAAAAAGTTGGCATCAAATAAACATTTTAATGTTACACCTTAACAAATTAAGTTTTGTTTGATGTGAAATGACAAAAGTACTGTGAAAATTATCAACAACACACTTATGTTTCATGGATTTGTTATATTTATTCAGGAACCCTAAAATGTGGAAACATTCGTGATGAAGTACCAACAATTGGTGTAATGTGTTACCATCGCCAGTATAACTTGGAATTAGCGCATAGAAGCAACTGGCATAAAATAAATTAAAAAAAAAAAAATAATTTTGTAAAGATAAGTTTTTTTTTTTTAAATAAAATGTCTTGTATTGAATTTACAGTGAACGGAGTCAAATGTTCAGGTATTTTTTTTTAATTTAATTTATCGTAAATTGAATAATAAAATTATTTTTACTAATATAAATTGAACGTTGACGAACGAATATCGTAATATTTTCATATGTATTATTTCATATTACATAGGTATATGGTAAACTTATTTTTCATACGGAAAAAATAAAAAATATTACTTATTTTTTAATTTAGTTTTCATGTTCAAAATTATAAATAATTGTTTTTTTGTTTCGTCACCAATTGTAAAATCGATTTAATTATAAGGGGAATGGCTCCTGAAACACAGTGCTTTGCCCTAGTTCAGGAATCATCAGGCTCCCACATTATGAATGGCTGGCATGATTTTTAAAATTCACGTTGCCTTGGCCTTTTAATGTCAATAAGGCCTTTTTGATGTCAAGTGAAACAGAGGGCTTATTGTATTTACAATATACAAAAACCTTGGAAGTTAAACCATTTATAGAGATAAACGTTCTATCATAGTAAAGTTATATTTAAATATGAATAGATTTAAAATTACATGCGTGGCCTCTAAAATAAATTATAGTAATTTGGCTGTTACTCTGTCGCCATCATAAGTCTGTTGAAAGATTGTTTACTTCCGTCGTGTTCTATGACTGGCCTAATGTAACTGGCGCCAGTGAACCCATACAGTCCATGTCAAGGCAGTACTACTGTTCTGTACTGGCTTAATGGTAACCAATCATGACATTTACAGTACTTTAGAAGCCATTACACGCTATCTTTAACTAACGCCTTTGCGTAACTAACTCTACTGCCTCAAAGTTATATCTGTTCCCTTGTTTATTTAGTTGGTACTATCTCAAAGTACATGTCTAAATAAAAAGTACATAATATACTAATATTTGAACAAACAATGTTTGTTCATGAAATAGTTGAAATAGAATTCCATTCACGTGCAGTCAACGTGACTCCATCTATCTTTTTTATAGTACAAGGTGATAAACGAGCAAAAGGCTATTTGCCGAATAACGAAGTGACCAGCGACCATAGACATCCGCATTTGCAAATGAAATGCATATATTTAATCAACAGAGGATACGCACAGAAAGAGGATATTTCCCTCACCAATATCGTCCTCTCCCCAACCAAAATCATTTCCCATCGTAAAGAAAGGGTTGGAAGGGAAAGAGTGTAAAGTTAGACCCCCGAACGCACACGACTTGTCCTCCGTGGGCGTGCCGGCCTATCCATGCACAGATTTTATTGCAGACTCTACTACTGTATTTCAAATCTGTCTCTACCCTAGAAAAGTTATCAATAATCAGTCAATTAAGGCGTGTTGCCATGACGCGTGATTCTGCTAATACAGACCATGCTGACAGCAGTTAAGAGCAACCTCTTAGTGAGGTCTTTCGGAAACAAGAGCTTCGGTATCTTTAAGAAATGCAAATGATACACATTCTCCTATTACAACGCTTATAAACTTTACACTATACTTCAAGGTCTATTTCAGGAATTAGGTATTAATTCTAGTGTTCCCGTTTCAGTAAACGAGACAATACCGCGGGAGACATCACTAAATGCATATCTCCGGTACTACCTATCTCTACCTGGAACCAAGGCGATGTGTCATCAGGGCGGGTGCGGCGCTTGCATTGTTGTCGTACGCGCGGAACGGCCAACCACGGGCACTCTGGAGACGTTCTCCGTTAACTCTGTATGTAAACACAATAGACAAAAACTATATGGCTTTCAGTTAAATAGTGTAACCTTTATGGTACTCCAAAAGTTTTTTTTTTATAAATAATTAAATGGCGTTTGACTACCAGATTTATTTCGAGGATGAAGCAAAGAGGAACGTTAATTTGAAAAGCAGAATCCAACACCAAATAGGATACCAGCGAAGGAGAAAAAATCTAATACATAATTGTTGTAATATTTCTGTTATGTTCACATACAAAATGCGTTTTAAACCACTTTATCATTTTTTATAACCGCAGTTCTTCGTAATAATTATGCAACAAATGAGTATTTAAAAAATTGTTACCGTCTATTAAAAAAAAACAACAATTATTTATTGTGTACGATTTGTAATTTACACAGCGTTAAATGCGGGCTTAACCTAGAAATGAGTTGTAATTAAATTTCACTAAAATATGCTTTAGATTTCGATCGGTATTTGCTAAATGATTCACTAGAAACTATTTGTTCCACTCTAATATATGATAAAATTGGATTGCTATCTCTTTTACTACGTTTAGAGGAAGTTATACAATATTTATTTGTATAAATCGCAGGCTGTAAGATTTAAAAAAAAGTTACCTTAATTTCGACACAATTGTGACCAACATTGAAAATTAAAAAAAAATTAAAACCCTAAAAATTGTTACATCAATACTCTTTTAACAAATAGAATTTGAATATAAGCAAAGCCACCACACTCGTGATGAGACAATTTTAAGAGTATTCAATACTACTGGTAACATCCTGACTGTTTGATTTTTTTTTTGGTGACTGATTGCCACTGTTTGCCTTGAGGAGGCATTTACAGCTTCACCGGGCTTGAGGTGGCCGAGCGCAGATGGCACTTAGCCTAAACCTCGTTTAAGAGTAACTAAGCTCGAGGGATCCCTCAGGAACCTCGGCTCGGGCCGTTACTTCGCTATTATTACCGGATTAGGAGTGACTGCTTGAAGTTGTCCGTGTATTGTACGGTGTACCTTAAATACCTAGTTTTATTTATAGTGCTTAGTTCTCGTGTTCTCCTGTCATGGCTGGGAAATTACAACTATCGAAGGTGTTGGCAACAGACTGTCAGGCTACAGTGAAGGTCAAAAGAGAATCGCAGCATTTAATGGAACCCAATGTGGGTACTGTACCACTGGTTGGGTCATGCAAATCTATAGGTACATTTCTAATTGCACGTCTATTAGTTTAGTGATCTCCTTAGTGTAGATTTAGTATTAATGTAATGAAAACTAATTTTAATAGATTTAACTAGCTGTCGCCTAGGACTCCGTCCGTGGGAAATTAAAAAAACTTAATTAGTATGTGTTCTTCCAGACTATTTTCTACATCTATAACAAATTTCAGCCGTTATGAAGATACCTTCTAACAAACATCCATCCATCAACTCATCCAAACATAGCATTTGTGATATTAGTAAGATATTAATGCCCAAAGTGATTGACAGTATTTCTTACATATAGTATTCCTTGCAGCCTCCAAGACAAGCATCTCACAATGCAGCAAATGGAGGATTCTTTAGGCAGCAACACCTGTCGCTGTACCGGCTATAGACCCATATTGGACACAGCCAAGTCTTTCGCAGTAGACGCGAGTCCAGATCTATGCGCCAAAGTCAAGGATATAGAAGACCTATGCAAGAAGAACATAGAATGTAAAAGAAAATGCTCAAGTATCAGCGAAAGTGACTGGTGTATGGTAGATAAGTTAAGGATCCAAAATGAATCGCTTATATCCTTAAATTTTGGAAAGACTAAATTTTTCAAAGCTTTTTCTGAAAGAGAAATTTTTGATGTTCTTTCAAAATCTGGTGATGATTCTTATATGTTTGTCGATGGGAACACAGCAAAAGGTAGGTTAATAATAAATTACTATTATAAAAGACAATTGTAAACTCCTAAAATATTTTAAGAGCAATTCTTAATTTACGTTATATCTAAAACCTTTTTATTTTTATATTATGCACTTCTCCATCGTGATACGTAATTTACATTAAAAATAACACCATAATAAACCACTGATGATAAGAACAAAAGTTAAAAGGCTTTGTAACGTTCGTATTTCATTTTATAGGCGTCTACAAAACATACGAATATCCGAAAATTCTGATTGACATAAGTGACGTCAAATCACTAAAGACGTATGAATTCAGTCAGAATCTAGTCCTGTGCGGGAATATCAGCCTTGAGGACTGCATCACGATATTTACAGATACAGCTAAATCGATGAATGGCTTTGCATATTTAGAAGAATTCGCTAAACATATCAAACTGGTAGCACACATTCCTGTTAGAAAGGTAATTAATTAGAATATATTGTATGTACTACTCCATACATCTCTATCAGCCGTCATATTTGAATCTACCCCCTTCATATCCCCTTTCTCACAATTCAACTACTTTATTTGGTCTTTCTCTTCCTTTCTAGCCATCCACATTCAATCTCATTACTTTTAAATCAAACTTAATTATTTTATCCATGTTTTAGATCGGATCTATAGCTGGTAATCTAATGCTGAAACACACCAGACCAGATTTTCAGTCAGATATATTTTTGCTATTCGAAACGGTAGGAGCTTATGTGACATTGAGTAAGTTAAAGTTAACTTTCTATCATTTATTAAATGGACATTAAAAGGACAAAACTAAGTTATGTTTCTTTTAGGAAATTCGAGTAATCAAAAAGTGACGTTGTCCATGATAGAATTTTTGAGCTACAATATGCGAGGTCAGCTTATACTGAACGTGGAATTGCCTCCTTTAGGCGACTGTAGTATTGTCAGAACTTATAAGGTATGATCATTTTCAAGTATATACCGAAATTTTATGAGGTAAGGGTCCTTACCCTAAAAGAATAACTTGCATAGCCATTTAGTCCAAAAGTTATAAAAGAAGAAATATATTGCTTGACTGTACCTTATGACAATCTGGGAAAGAATGCAATTCGAATAACTCCATTTATTAAAAATGACGCGTAGTATGCGCTTTTCTTCTTATAGTTGGGCAGAGAGGCATGGCAAATGGGTAGGTGAGTTGACGAGTCCGCGTTAACCTTTAAACTATTATCAAGTCTTTATATGTTTTAGATACTACCACGTAACCAAAACGCATTAGCTATTGTCAATGCTGGCTTCCTTCTAGAAATGAACAAACATAACGTAATAACAGAAGCAAGGATAGTATACGGAAATATATCAGCTGACTTCATCCATGCATATCACACTGAGCAATATTTATTAGGAAAGAATATATTTTCCAATGATAATTTGCAAAGGGCGATACAAAAGTTGAGTGCAGAAATTACACCTGAGCATCGCCCACCAAAACCATCACCGGAATGTCGAAAGAAATTAGCTATCGGATTATTTTATAAGGTTAGTTTAAAATGATAAAAGCGTGGTTTGTTATTTTAACCTAGTACCCTACTATCCCTACCTACCCTACTCTAGTACTGTAAGTGGTTCTGCACGAATGGCTCGTTCGCCTGATGAAATACCACCACCACAGAAGACAAGCGCGATGTGGAAGCAATACCGCGAATCGTCGCCGGAACCTCAAGTCTTTTCCTTTAAGAAATGGGCTGGGAATTGGACTATACCTCCACTCCTCTGTCCATTTAAGATTGGAACACATTGGCTACTTCTTGTAGACGCTATTTTAACAAAATCAGTTCGCCCTTTATTACTGTGGGTTTTCCGGAAAACTCGAATGAAAACAATTGTTCCATATGTTAATTTTGCAAACAGAATTCACTGAAGTAAAGGATTTTTTTTTGTTTCACAGTTCATCTTGAATATAAGTCCGGCTGGATTACCGTGTCCTAAGTACTGTTCAGGTGGCATGTTGTTTGAACGTCCGTTATCCAGTGGTAAGCAAGATTTCCAAACAGACAAATCGCTGTACCCACTCAATGAGCCGTTGCAGAAACTAGAAGCGTTGATACAAGCGTCTGGTGAGGCTCAATATGCTAATGATATACCGCCTAAGCGAAGAGAAGTATTTGGAGCTTTTGTTCTATCAATAGTACATTCAGGCGAAATTGAAGTTATTGACGCATGTGATGTTTTGGTAAGAATATTATAGACGTAGACTAGAAAAACAGTTGTTAGATTTGCAGAGTACCATCCATATAATCGTAGGTAGTCATATATGAATAAAATGAGGTCGAAGTAAAAGATAAGACTATTCAACTAAGAATATTTACTACAACTAAAATTACAACGATTTGTTGATCATCGAATAAGAAGTAGAGAAAGCTATCCCAGTTTTCAGTTTCCTTTTACTTCCTTAAACTGTGCCAACCTTTTTTATTGTAGAAAATCGAAGGCGTACTTGCTGTATATACGGCAAGTGATATCCCTGGGAAAAATTCTTTCGGCTTCCCAGGAATACAACTACAATACGAAGACGAAGAAATACTAGCAAGTCGGTATATTAAGTTCTTTGGACAACCGGTGGCGATACTAGTGGCGATCAGTGAGGCATTAGCAGTTAGGGCTGCTAGGAAAGTTAAAGTTACTTACAAAAATGTTCCAAAAACACATCCTGTGCTTACCATAGACGCAGCAAAGGGTGATCCTAAAAGATATATGGCAGGCGACTCTGGCATGACACCAAAGAGCAGAGGCACTAATATAAAAAAAGTAGTAAAGGGAGTCTATGAAATAGGAGCTCAATATCACTATTACATGGAACCTATAACGTGTGTTGTTATACCCGTAGACAAAGGTCTAGAAGTTTACGATTCAACTCAATGGATGGATTTATCACAAATCGCAATTTCTCAGTGTTTAGGAATAAATGAAAGCGAGTAAGTATATACGAGAATATAAATTCTCTTATCTATTTAATAAAATAGTTAACTAAACGTATATTTCTAGTGTGCATCTAAAAGTCCGTCGAATTGGTGGTGGTTTTGGAGGTAAAATCAGTCGCAATGTTCAAGTTTCAACCGCGTGTGCGTTGGTTGCCAAAAAGATGGATCTTCCTTGTAGATTTATTTTGCCGATTGAAACTAATCTTACTATGGCTGGCAGAAGACTACCGTGTCAATGTATTTACGAGGTAAGGAGACCAAAGAATTGTCGATATTTTTTGAGAAAGAAGGCTGAATTTCTTTGTAAAGCATTACATTTTTGCTATTCAGGTTGGAGTTGATGACAATGGTAAAATCCAATACCTAGACGCTACTATAGTGGAAGACGACGGCTGTTCACACAACGAGAACATACTGAGCTACACAGCGGAAGGTTTTTCCAACTGTTACGTCACGGACACTTGGAAATTGAAGACCGGCAGTGTACTCACAGATTTACCTTCAAATACATTCGCACGAGCTCCGGGTAAGTATTTCAAAACCTGTACCTTGATTTTGGTACGTTCATTGGTAAATTTAATCACACAAATTGATTTTTTTAGGTACTTCAGAAGGCATCGCCTGCATAGAACATATAATGGAGCACATATCTTACAAATTGCAAAAAGACTCAACAGCTGTACGACTCGCAAACATGAAAACCGAAGAAAACGATATCCCTCAACTTATAGAAGAACTAAAAAAAGAATCTGATTATAACAAAAGGGTATTGGAAGTAGAAAAATTCAACAAAGAAAATCGTTGGATGAAACGAGCAATTCAAACTAGTGTTATGCTGTTTCCAGTACAATTTTATGGCAACTACACAGCTATGGTATCGATTTATCGAGGAGATGGCACAGTAACAGTGACCACTGGTGGAATTGAAATGGGACAAGGGTTAAATACAAAAGCTGCACAGGTTTGTGCATACGAACTATCAGTTCCAGTAGAACACGTCACGGTTATACCTAACTATTCTTTTGTAGCAGCCAACAATGTTTTCTCCGGATCCAGTATAACGAGCGAGAGTGTTTGTTTCTCAATTATAAAAGCGTGTAAGATGCTAAACTTAAGATTGGAACCAATAAGAAAGAAGTTGACGAATCCAACGTGGTTGCAAGTCGTGCAAGCGGCTGGCGAAGAACAGATCGAATTATCAGCTAAATATATGATGACGGATAAAGAACCAGAGCTTCAGAGGTATAATGCGTTTTCAGTCGTCATTTTGGAAGTGCAATTGGAGGTGTTGACAGGACGATATGAATTACTCAGAGCTGATATGTTAGAAGACGTCGGTTTGAGTACTAACCCTACTGTAGATGTTGGTCAAGTATGTCCTTCAATTATATCCATACCATGAAATAATATTAACCTATAAATATTAACTGTTATATTATTTTGTAGTTGGAAGGTGCTTACGTTCAAGGACTTGGTTATTTCTTAACAGAGGATTTCGTTTACGATAAAACAACAGGGAAATTATTAACTAATGATGCCCTTAACTACGAGGTACCTCTTGCGAAAGACATTCCCATTGACTTTAGAATAAAGTTCAAATATAATGCTAAAAATCCTAAAGGAGTGTTGGGGTCAAAAAGTAAATACCATATTTTTAACTATTTTGTTATCATGAATTATAGTTATGTGCCAAATATGGACATAAAACAATCTTAATAATTTATTTCAGCGGTGGGTGAGATGGGTATTTGTACAGCACATGGAGTAACTCATGCTTTGAGGAAATGCATTTATGAATCTAGAAAAGACTCTGGCTATGATCCTAAGGAATGGATTAATATAGGTTTGTATGCTTTAAAATGCATAGTATAAGAATATAAAAAGATAACAAAAACGGGGAGAAAAATTGAAAACTGCAGTTGCGCCAGTGCCAAGAATCCGCTGCTCCTTGTCTACTGACATCTAGTGACTATATTTAGAAACAGGCAGTCTTTCTCCTCTTTATTGATACTAAACAAATGAAAAAAGGGTCTTGACAGACAGACGGATGGACAACAAAGTGATCCTATAAGGGTTCCGTTTTTTTCCTATGAGGTACGGAACCCTAAAAAGCAGAATAAACTTATGAATCAATGTCTTACAATAAAATTCATACAGACCTTAACTCTTACTAAAAACGTATTACTTTTCAGCTCATCCATACAATACTGAGTCAATATTAAAAGCTCTAGATGTGAAGTTAAATGAATTTCTTCTAACTTGCAATAAATAAGACTTGAAAACGAGACGTAAAATAAAAACGAAAAAATAGCTCAGCAAATAAAGCATTTATCGTGGGTTTCTGAGATCAAAATCCTCGTTAAAAAGATATTTTTATCTCTATTTTATCAAAGATTACAGGTATGGTATTTTACTCAGAGATTTAGGTATCAGAAACCAACGTTTGGTATATATTGAAATCTTTTTTGTGATTAAAGAACGAAATTAGGATGTCTCAGAATTTATAATGAAAAGAAATATGTATTTGAAAAATGTTTAATTTATAAATTATGTAACAAAATATAATACAATGTTTTTATCTTAATACTATTTCTTATATTAATTCACTTATAGTAATAAATATATAAATAAATTTATACATTTTTGATTTTTTCTTTCTTGTGCCCTTCACAATCACAATTTACAACAGGGTTGCGATACATCGAAATAATTTTTACCTATGTAAATATAAGTCTCTACTTATATGCCTCTTTGCTTAAACTACAGAATAGTTCTATATCTCACTAAAATAAGCATCATCAGCTCACTATACGTCCCCACCGAGGGGCTCGGAGCCTACCCTAAGTTAAGGGTGACTAGGCCATAGTCAACCACGCAGGCCCAGTGCGGGTTGGTTGACTTCACACATATCTTTGAATTACTTCTCAGATATGTGCAGGTTGCCCGTTGTTTTCCTTCACCGTACGAACGTCGGATAAATGTACATATGTAAATCGGAAATCGAAAAACATATTGGTACATGGCGGAATTCGAACCCAGGACCTGCAGATTGCAAGTCAAGTGCTTGACCCCTGAGCCACCGACGATCTAATAAAATAAGCATATCTTGTAATAATTCGAAGTAAAGGTTCTAACAAAATAGCCATAAATTCAGGATTATATTATTTTCTCCGACGTCATAATAAATATTTCCAAATAAGTCTTTATTCTTCATCATCAAAAGTCAATCTCTTCATATTTGTGATGACAAATCGCTTCTGTCCTCGCCTTTTCTTCGGAGTTAAGAATATTGTTGGTGATAAATTACATTCAGTTCCGTGTGGGGTCTTTACAAGTTCGTTATCCTCGTTGTATCTGTTTTGTGGTGTGGAAAAACATTCCATCTTTGGTACCTTTGGTTTTTGTGGAGTTCCTGAAATTTGAATTTTATGAAAAAATTGCAAATAATATTTTTATGTAACTACTCATCTAATAAGACTCTAAACGATTATCTTTTTTTATTATTCCAAAATTTAATTTTTAAAAAAAATAAAAAATCATTTTTTTTTTAAATTATACAATCTAGATTAAATAGATATGTAAAAACTAGAACGTTACGAAACATATTGAATACAATTTTGTAAAAAAATAAATTGATAAATCGCAAAATGTATTTTAAATTAATCTTACCTTTCGGGCGCTTGGAGCTTTTAACTGGGTTATCAATTAAACGATATAAAAGTTTACGACTCTCTGATTTCCTGTTCATTTTTCAAATTGTGTTTGAAAAATATCACTAAAACTACTAGAATATTACTAGAGCGTACTAAAGTACTGTATGAAGACTGAAGACGGAATGATGATAAAATATTACAACCGCTATTTAAATACCAATCCGTTAATTAATTAATATAAATTATTAATTATAATCATTAAATTGTTTACAAAATTACAACAAATTACATCATTAAATCCTTTCATTATTATTGTTATGAATGTAATTTGTTAATGATCTTATTTTGCCACTGAAGAAAACATTAATTAATTGTCATTAATTTAATTAGGAAACAAATATATCATTTATTTTCTTATTATTATGATTTCACGGCTTATTAATGAAACTTCTATTATTACTTACGAAGATTTTTGTTATTAGTAACCCCGTCTTATACGCGTTTATTGACCGTATATACGGTCGGACAGACCACACGTACAGCACGCAACGGATTTTAGTTTGCTTCGTATGATTTTACAGTGCTCTGCGTCGCCCGCATCGCATCAAGATAAAGCAAATCCGTGCGGTGCGTCCGGCGCGGATCAACAGATGCGTACCTTCAAAGGGCTTTGCACGAGGATTTTACCCTGATTTAAATTGGACGAGTTTCTTAATTTTCTTATATTTTTTTAAAACAGAAGGGGGCAAAAGAGCAGCGGGAACACCGAGGTGTTCAACGACGCCCATGGACATCAGCAATACCAGAGGAACCGCAGATGCGTTTGTCGGCCTTTGAGGTGGTGATAAGCTCGCTTCTTGAAGGACAATAAGTCGTAGCGGTTTGGAAATACCGCCAAGGACAGACCATTCTACAACGCTGTATTAGTTTATTTGAACCGGGTCTATTAGTTAAAAACATAAGTACGAAAATTGTGTGAATAGGTAATGAACGGATATTTTATTTAAACAATGATTTATTTCAAATAACTTAAAGTTTACAAAAACACAATATTGACATCAAGCAATGTTTATGACAATACGTTTAAAGCATCATTACATGTTCAAAGATTTTAAGGCACAATATTCTTAAAACGACTTATAAAAGACGACTTACAAAGTGTAAAAATTCAAAAATAGAAAACTTTGTTTACGATTGTACCACTTAGTATTGAACTTTTCTCTATTACACTAAAAGCCTTCAAATGTACAGTCACGAAGAAAATAAGTACCCGAAAAATATGTTAGACAAATTAAATACCACTATATTTGCAATTTTAATAACATGATTGTAAAGAAATCAATAGTCAAAAATTAATTTAAAAATGTGATTAAACAGTACAATCAACGACAGTACTGTGACAGAAAATTGCTTCAGAAAGTAATATAATTATTGTTACCCAAATAATTTTGCGGGGTTTTTTTGACATACAAAAAATTCATCCATGATGATGTTGATGTTTCGGTAAACAAAACGCATTGCAATACAAACAAAACATACATCATACATAGAATTTAAGGAAAATCATAATAGTTATAAACTGATTCTATGGTTAAATCCATAGACATCTGAAAGAAGACGGACATGCAAAACCAGCACATACAAATCGAAATATATATCATAAAACTTACAGTCTAATCTTACTAATATTGTAAATGCTAACTTTTGTATGTATGTATGGATGGATGTTTGTTAGAAAATATCTGCAGAAATGTCCAATAGATCACAACAAAATTTGACATACATATTTGAAACACATAGACTGCTAATGAAGCTTTTTAATTGAGAGCGGTCAAAGTCGCGGGCGACAGCTAGTAGTTTGATAATTAATGACCCAAAAAATTTCATAAAAGTAAAACTTTTCTAAATGCAGATTATGTGATGACAAAAATTTGATTCTCCAATAGTTCATCTTGATTTAAAACTGTTTAAAAGTTGATTTAAAATAAACTAATTTGGTATATATTTTCTATTAAAAATCAAATCAGAAGTTATATTTGTAATTAATTTTAATTATCTGTTAATTATCTTAAGGTTTTAAAAAGTATTAAATGAACTAGAAATTTTCACTGAGTATGTATACTGAAATGATTTTAAATATGTCTAAATTATCTATAATTGAGTCTAACAGAACATTTAAAGATAATCTTGAAGTCTTCCTTGTATAAGTTTTATGCATGACTGTACTTCTTCGCTATCTGCTACTAAATCCTGCAACTTGTCCTGTGTATCTATTAATATATCCTTATTTAAAGAACCTTTTTTCAATGACGTCATGCAGAAGTTAATCAAAGCCTTAAAACACTGCTTTCTATGAACATTATGCGGCTGGTTATCCCACACCGGTGTTGCTCTTACGTAACTCCAAGCAAGAAATACGTATTTTACAACAGATTCCCATTGCTGTGAGTCGATTAATATCTTCCCTTGCTCAATTAAACACTTTTTGAATGCAGCCAAATGTGTGGATGCACGTGAGAAAGCTGGTGAATCAGTTTTAGAAGTAAGTCTCGATGTTGGTAGACTCTTAAATATATTTGACTTTAAATAGCTTAGTTTCTCTTCTAAGGGTGCAAGATCTGGCGTTGGCATTTCTCTTCTTATTTCTTGTTCTATTTCTGGATGATGCTGAGTTATACGTTTGATCATGTTCACAAGTTGGGTTGGACTGAGACCTTTTAGAGCAACATCTATCGGACCTCTGAACTCTTCCACGGTTTTGTCTAATCTGAATCTTTTGACTGGCGGTGTACCTTTAATAGGGCTGGTTATTTTAAATTTTTGTGGTGTGCTAAGATCGCTAAAGTCAATCTTTTCAGGTGTTAAAGGTATACGTTCGGTTTCGCCAAGCAATAGACGTTTTCTTGGCGTAGAACGAAGAGTCACTCCAAGTTTAGGAGGTGAAGTACGACCCGGAGAGTTCTTCGGTGGAGTCCGAATAGTAGAATGGAATGTTGAGTTCCGTTTGGTGTCTATATCAGGAGACCATGTTACTGGTTGTCGTTTTCTCCCTGATAGTAAATAATTGTCAAAATAATTAACAAAGTTCCATGACATGAAAACTATGATTAACTAAGAAGATTATCTTTGAATATGCATATTTCTTTACCAAACTTTCTTGATTGAGCGGCGGGATCACCTCGGTGTTCCCGCCGCTCGTTTGCCCCCTTCTCTTATAAAAAAAAGAAAAACATTTATATTGTGTATTTATTTTATTAAAACCAGTCAACATTTTAGGCTCTAGTTTAGAACCTCCCACGACACTGATCAGACAATACAAGGAATTGCTTCACTTTCACTTCATGCCTTATATAATTAAAACACAACATGTATTTGGAGAAAGTATTCTTTTTTATTATATATTATTTATTTTAGTTATTAAAGCTATCATTACTAATGCCTGGGTTTTGTCTCGCTCTACAATATGGTTTGTCTTCAGTGGCTCACATAACTACACAATAGTACCTAATCACTTATAATCTGCGTTATGGTACTTACCTCGCTGCTGTATACACAGTTCGTCGGGCGAGGGCGCCGGGCTGAGGTAGCTCGGAGGCAGCGCTGGCGACAGCTCACGCAAGTTGGTGACGGGCTGGAGCGGTGTGACGCGGAGACGGTCCAGGCGCGTCGGGATTTCGGCGAGAGCGGCCCGGGTGCGACGCCCCGTCTCAGGCGTCGCCGCGCCCTCCATTGATTAAATCACTGCTGAAAAATTTGATAACAATACAACCGGAAACGTATCTCAATGTATGCTTAACGACAATGTTAAATTTAAATTTACAATTTTAATTTGAAGAATAAATCTCTACTTACAAACTAGTTTCGGACTATCACGAAACATTAAAGTTACAAATAGATAAGACATGTTGACAAAAAATGAAGTACACTTTCCCGCCTAAATTAAGATGCGCATTACTGTATTCATACAAAGCTTTCATATTAGCTCATCTAAATCAATTTGTAAAAGCCAGTGAACTATCAAATTGAACACGGTTTATACGTTATTTAATTTAACGTTACTTACCAAAACACTTCTACAATCAAAACAAAAAGTTGAACTTTTACAACAAACGTTATTCGCGCACAAATTGACAGTTGACCCCAAAACTCAAAATGATGTCTGACAAAACAAAGACAAGTCAACTGCAGTAAATAATAATTTATGGTTCCTGCTGCTGCAGCTGCAGTGGAGCAGTCATTTGCTCCCACCACAAAAAACGCAATTAAATTTTTTAAATAGTTTAATTCCTACTTTCAGTAACATACGTCTTAACTGGTCTTAACTATAATAATTTTACATGGAAGTTAATTGTAAAAATTACTATTTGGAATGGGATTTTTTTTGCTCTTTGACCATGTTTAATTTATGACATTTGCTTATCTGTAAAGCTGAATTTAAGAAATTGAATGTTGAGTTTTAAGCAAAAGTATGTGTGGGGTTTGTTTGCTTATTTATTAATTTTTACTCAATGTTACCTTGAATGTGCTATAACGTACAGTGTAATTATTAATTGTGCGTATACGTAATTTGTAATATTTTTTAGATAAAACTAAACTACTATACTCTAGAACAATTTCTGTACGTGGTTTTAAAAATAGTGACCTTTCTCATTCTTTTTCATAAACTTAAGACGAAAATACAAAAGTCTTAGTTTATTTAATACCATCATTTCTTTATAACAAATAAAGTGCATAGTGCAGTGATTCGGATAAGAACTGCAGGTGGGAAGTAGGCCAATTAGGTGGTAAACAAAAGCATTACGCACTGATATATCGTAAGTTCTAGATTGCTTGTGCTGTTATTTTGTCCGGACGATGGGCTTTGTATTGGGTGGTTGTGTTTAGCGTATCATGGAAAGATTGTCTCATGACCTAAACCTGGCTCTCGAAGAAAGTAACTGTGGCCGGCAAGAGCGGCGGAAGCTGGGGCTGCGACGGCGCACCAGATCCGCTGGGAATTTGCGTTAGTTTACAATTTTTTTTTACATAATAACAATTAATTATTTTGTCAATAATGAGAATGACTTGAATACAATGGAGAGTTTTGCTGCTAATCTTTTATAAAGTATTTAATTTTTTTAAGTAAAATCTAATAAAGGTTAAAATTAAATTTTTCACAATAGAACTTGACCAGGATAAAAAGTATATATATTGTGCATATTTATTTCTAGCGGCCACCGTAACTGTGAGTCTAGTTGAAGATGGAAGCTCCAGCAGTCCACCACAAGCACCACTCATCACACAACCACTCTCTGATTCCGATGACCCTCATGTTAATCTTCACAAGTCTGCCAACCTGAAGTCAAGGCAGTACTGCCAAATTGGCAACTTTGAATCTGATTCATTTAATGAAAACTTCTCTCCCACTCGTCCTGCCAATGCTAGAAGGAAAAGAAAGTATAAGAAGGTCCCAGTAGAGTATATAGATGGAAAGAGGTCACCTCCGGTTGAAATATTGAGTGTCACAACAGAGGTTAGATCTTTTATACAGTATTAATAGTTTCTTTCTACTTTTTAATACAGTAATACTAGCTTAAGTGTCCTCTGACTCTTTTATTGCCTAAGTCAGTTTGAGTTTTAGTTGCAGGTGACTTCTAACACTTTTTATTTACTGTTGCTTCATATTTAATCAATCACATACATAATAGTGTTATGAAATTTTCCAGTTGAGTACTTCTCCAACAACAATAATATTACAAACACCAGGATTATCACCTTTGTTGCACATCGGAAAACATAAACAAGAAAGGTAATTAATGCTTATATAATTTTTATCTCTTGCCAGTCTTGATCATGTTTTTGTTACCATGTCATTTTCTATAAATAATTATTATGACATGTAATGTGCTCACCTATAAAGTATTTATTTATATTTTTAATTAGAATATTTTTAAATTTTTTGTTTGATAAATGGTTCTTCCGTCTGAATGCATTTTCATGGTTCTGCTATGGAATCTAAAAACTTCAGCAGAAATGTGAGTACATAATTATAATTTTTTTTTTAATTATATATTTTTAATGAAAAATTTAATGGAATAATTCAGACTGGATGTCTGTTATGTTATTAGCTTACAAAAAAAATATGGCATAGTTATATTGCTAATGTTATAAAAAAATTGGTATGGTTTTAAGAGTAATTATTTAATTTCTTGGAAATAGGATTAGTTTATAACTAATTAATTGTGTTTTCTGAAATATAGGAATGCATTCTGCGGTAAAAGAAAATGGTCTCACAGAGATAAAGGCGATGTTTGCGAAATGAGAGAAAGATCGTTCAGCGGAGGCTGCTCTTCAAAGTCGGCTTTCTTCAAAAACGATTTCAAATCAAAAAGACACGACTCGGACAAGAAACGAAGAGACTCAATCCTACAACCAGGTAAAATTGTTCTTAAATCTCAAAATACAGAAGATCCGAAATGTTCAACGTTCACAAATACACCTTCGTTGCCAGGCAGTTCAAGTTTTAATTTTGTATACAAGAATCCATCGAGAAATGGTACACCGATACTGTCAAAAATGACTGGCTATCGGATAGCAACTGATTTACCTCCTGTCTTTAATCCAACTGGTAAAAATTGTTTAGATGGAAAATATCAGAGGAAGATAAAAATGTTGAACAAGACACATCCACCTAATTCACTAAGGGATCCTTTGCAATTTGATGAATCTAACAGTGGAATGGATTGCACTGGTAATGAAAGTAGTTCACTTAGCAGCAGTGAATCAGATGGAGTGGTCACCAACGACAGTGACAGAGAAGGAGATGATGAACTAACAGATTGGCCCGGAATTGAAGAACTGAAAGTATTCAACAAGAGTCTAACTTTCAAATCATCTAAAGTTAATAATAATTGTACAAAAACAGTCAGCAGTATGCCACCTCCAAAACGATTGAAGAAAGAGAATATAAGTGGCAAAAGTGGTTGGAATAATTGTAAAAATCGATTCAAAAAGAAAAGGGCGAAAGTCGATTCCGGTAATGATGATGATATGATGTCCGATTCCAAAACTATAATCGATTTGGAAGACGAAGGAGTATCGAAAGAGAACAGGGATATTCTGCAACCGCATTCCTCATTCTCTAGTTTTAGTGATATAAAGAACGCTGGGGTTTCAGGAAAGAATGCAGACGAGACGTTTTTTCAGTCCTTTCAGGTTTTCGTGGAGAAATCTGAGCAAAACGAGGAGGCTTTCAATCAAGCGCCGCGGACGAATTTCACGCTACAGAAGACGTCATCGAGCGATTTAAATTTAAGCGAGAAGTCACCACAGAGCGATCATTACTGCAGTGAACATTCTATGGGTAATATACCAGTTGCAGAAATAAGGGAAATTCGGGCCGGATGTAGGAGAATAAGGGAGGAACGGCCCGGCTTTCTTATATTGAGTGCGGCTAATGAACAGTTGTCTAAATTCCTTCAGGACTCTTGTCAAATTGAACTGAAGCTACCGGGTTTGCAAGATCCCGAGGAAAAGGAGAAATTGGAGTCTTTAGCTAAACTGTACTCTTTGGAACTTGAAATGGAGATGGATCGACCAGTACTGAGGAAAACAAGGTATTTATTTTATTTCAAGTAGTCTTGAAATTATTATTGATAAACTCATTTTAAATCTTAAACATTTTAAGAAAGACATAATTTTCTTTGACATGGTACAAATTAAGTAATGTTAATATATTTTTTCAGCAACACAATGCAAGCAATTCGTGTAGAACATTCCTGTCACAATTTTCCGTCAGATCACAAACGTAGATGTTACGGTGAGGATAACGATTCCAGCTTGAGTCTGAGCGATCAGAACTCGGTTACTTCAGCTAATGATTTAGATGATGTACTATATCAAGCTCCGGAGGACAACAAATTGGAAGCAGAAGATAAACTAGTGGATAACTTCTCAAGAACTTTGGTTGATAATTCTCTTCTAGATCCAGGTGATGTTGATTGATTTAATGAGATTTTTCTAGACCATGAAATTTTACCGTTATATTTGTATTAAGACATATTTTTTTTCCTAAAATAGAATGTGATGGATGTTTAAATACTTGTTTCATAGTGTAAACGTAAAGTTGAGACAATTAAAACATTATTAAAATGTTATTTAAGTATTTTATAGTAAGATGATTTTATGTATATAATCATGTTTTATAACTTGACTATTTGGTCTTTATTTTTATAAGTCTGAAGTATATTAAATTAGTTATTTTTATGTAGTTATATAATTCTGAATCGTATATCTTATGTACTTGCCGTTTAGAATCGAATTTCAGTGATTTTAGTCAAAATTTTATAATATTGCTTACAATATGTAGTAATATCTAGTAAATTGATGTAATAACTACATATACATTCAAAATTAGTAAATATTAAATATAAATTAAATAGTTATGGTTCATATCAGAGTTTGTTAATTAGTTTTGCAATGTATAATTAATAATAAAAAAATTGTAACAATTCTTACAAATATAAAGAGGATTATGAACATGTTTTGTCAAAGTTACATTTCAAAATACTAACTGTATCATGATATTAATAAATATAAGAAAAACTTTATAAAAGGTTATACATAGAGATGCATGAAATATGTAATTGTACATAAATAAAATATATAGATATACAGTACTTTTATTACTAAAAATATTTCCTGATATAAATCTATTCTTACTACTTACTAATATTATAAATGCGAATGCTTGATTGAAGATATCTCCAGACTGGCAGCATAGAACACATGGCTACTATTTAAGTTTTTTTCAAATCCCGTGCGGATTAAATCGCGGTGTCGACAGCTAGGTAATAACTAAAAGAGGAGGTAGATACGAAAAATGTTACGACGAAGTCACATAAAATAATTTGTGATAATAATTTATTTTCGATCATTAAATATACAAACATAAAAAAAATAACAATGCAATATAAAAACAGTGAGCACCTGAA